CGGGGGCCATGCTGGCGCACTCGCACGGACCACGGCCGCCTGTGCTTGAGTACATGCACACACTTAGGCAAGATTGTTTGTTTAATTAGTTCAGAGGTAAGGCGGCCTCCGCCCTCATGGTCGGAGGCGCCCGTGAGCCGAAGCGGGGCGGCGTCCGCCTGAGCATAGGTCGGAGGTCTCAGCGCACGACCTGGGCAGAATTCGCGACAAGCCTGCCGAGCCTCGTGTAGTGCCCTACGAGCATAGCTAGGAAAGTTCCTTTAGTCAGCGCCATGTCTCCGCCCCAAGACGGTCGAAGACGCCTTAGCGACACCATGCTGTCGGAGGCCTTCGTCACCTGCCGAAGCCGTGTTACAACAGCGAGGCAAACATCGACTTCAACCCGGAGGACCCGCCCGAGGCATACAGCGATCCCAGCATCCACAGTCGCGTTAGTGAGTACACGACGATGGCAAGGCAGGTTCTTGGGCCACAGTTTGATCCGAGCACCCAGGATCTTGATGGAGAAATCGTGATGAGGGTGGGAGGAGGCAAGAAGCATGGGCGGTACTGGATTGGTGATAGTACAATCGGCACGGCCTCTACTCCCACTCTCTCCCAGATCCGAGCAAGGAGCACGAGCGCGAGCCCGGAGATACGCCCTCGGCCAACTGCTACACAGTACCAGATGGAGGCTCTCCAGGTTATTTCTTATTTATTCACCGTTCGTTGATTGTTACGTACTTTAGCTTTGTATTGTAACATTGGGATGAAATGTTATAGGCCCGGGTGGAAGTAGAAATGAAGCAACGGGAGGAGATGGAGGCGAGGATGGCGGAGATGGAGGCGAACATGGCAGCCGAGCGGCAGAACATGGAGGAAGAACAATGGCGGACGATGCAAAGGATAGAGGAAGAAAATCGGTTGAGGATGGACCAAATGTTCCAATACATGCAGAATTTTGCATCGAGTATGGGTCAAGCTTTACCACTGTCACCGGTGCTATTCCCTCCACCTCAGCCACCCACAACTACTCCTGTGAGTCACTTGACACCTTATGTTAGATCTATTTATTATTATTTTTTATCCCAAGATATTAGATGGATGGTTACCTTGCTTTTGCACTACATAAAAACTCACTAATTAACATTACATAAAAACTTCCATATTAGTTGACTTCCAACAGTACTATCAATTTAGCAACTGCAAGTTGTAGCACTTACAAACAATAAGAAATGAACTTGTATGCATTACAAGTAAACACAGCTACCAGTACCTTAACAAGGAAAGGAAAACGGTGTATTTAAGTAAACACAGCTACCAGTACCTTAACAAGTGCTTTTTAATTTGTATTATTTATATTCAGTGAACCTTTGCTTTATCATATATGGTCAAGTGCTTTTTAATTTGTATTATTTATATTCAGTGAACCTTTGTATATGTGGCCATGAAATTGATTGGTACTGGTGCTAGCTGGGCGTCTGCTCCTTACCAGCGTATTGCCTGCATGGTCCTGTACTGCATGGAACTGTCTGCTACTGCTGGTTGGCTGCCTGATTGCCTGCTTTTTTATGTGTTCTTTGTTGATGTCTTTTCAATCAGCAGTCATGCCAAAATTCACCTACTGTTCCTGATCCTGATCACTACCTGCTGCTGCTGTCTACCTGCTGCTGCTGGTAGATGACCGCTTTAGGACTGTGTGTTCATTTTTGACTTATTGGCTCTCAGTGCGAAATGGCGCATGTCAATTTGGAAACTTGTGAACTTCCATAGTAGTTTAGATTTTGTAGAATCTTTTGTTTTTTTTGCAATGTAACAAAAATGATCAATAGGTATCACGTGAATAATGAATTAAGTGCAATCTCCATGTGTCAAGGAACCTTAAATATTAAGTGCATCACATATAAATATCAATCTTGTCTCACACATGCAATCTCTTCTCTTTTGTGCAGAATCAATCGGCGGCATCAAATAATCAGTCTCAAGACCCGGATTTGTCGCAGTGGTACCAAGGGCCTCCGCAGTGATTGCATTTCCCTTTGTGGCTTATTGTGACTTAGTTGTGACTTGTGATGATGGTTTACTGTGAATTGTGATGATGGTTTATTGTAAATTGTGATGATGGTTTATTATGCCTGTGAAATACAATTATGTCTGTGACATATAATTATGCTTGTGAGCTTTATTGTGAATTGTGATGGTTTATTGTGAATTGAGAGGGGTCCGTTATACGGGACAGATTAGTAAAAAAGGGGGGCTATTGGTCGCTTTGCCGAGTGTAACACTCGGCAAAGAGACGCTTTCCCGAGTGTCGAGCCAAAACACTCGGCGAAGAAACCAATTTCTGTTATTCTGGGAACCTTTTTTGCCGAGTGTTTCGTCTTTGCCGAGTGTATTCAAATGGACACTCGGCAAAGTGACCATAAAATCTGCCCGTGGCGCGCTTGTTTGCCGAGTGTATTGGGTGTGACACTCGGCAAAGTGTGTAAACGTTGCCAAGTGCTTTGGTCTTGACACTTGGCAAACTTTATAACCTTTACCGAGTGTTTTGGTCTTGCACTCGGCAAACTTTAGCAACTTTACCGAGTGTTTTGGAGATGACACTCGGCAAAGTTTACAAACTTTGCCGAGTGTTTTAGGCTTGACACTCGGCAAACTTGAGAAACTTTACCGAGTGTTTTTCTATCGTGCACTCGGCAAAATCGCCGTCACCGTGCCATCCCGTTATCATTTTTGTGCTGAGAGTTTCTTTTTTGCCGAGTGTTTATTGACACTCGGCAAACTATTTGCCGAGTGCGCGATAAAAAACACTTGGCAAACTACTGTTTGCCGACAAAATAATGCCGTGTGTTGTATGCCGAGTGTTACACTCGGCAAAGCATTTGCCGAGTGCCCCTGGCACTCGGCAAAGCTACTGTATCCCGTAGTGGTTCAAGGCTTCTTATTTAACAATCTCTCACAGTCAAGAAAAAGTCAGAAGTTCATACAATATTCTATATCAGATTAGTCTTGTGCTGTACGTCATTCATTAACTATTTGTTTTGATGGAAAAAAAAGAAACTCGATCATGAGTCAAGACCGTCAAGGTTTAATACCATGAAGTCCTAATCAAGCAGGAAACTGGTCAACATATGTATGCATGTAGTGTGTAATCATCTTTTAACATTAACTAATGCACTGAATTGACAGCTCGAACAAGCACAGGCAGCTTAGCAGACTTAGTGCTAGTTTCACTGATTAAGATTCTGTACTCTCTTTCAAAAGCTTGAAATTATTTAGACCAAAACAATCAGCAAGTCAATATATTTGATATCAACTACCTAACATACTGTTCAAGTCAGTAAGACCACAAGATATATATAATTAAACCACTCCTTTGCTACAACTACCTTGTCCCAGGGCTGTATCCGAATTTTTGTTGACCTGATTCAAAACCTAACATTAGGCGATACAACAAAACGTGCCAGTACCAGAAATATTTTTAATTATTCTGGCAGCATAATTTAATATATTCGTACACAAAATTAAGAGTTACAATAGAAATTATTCATGCTATACAAGAGCAAATGTTGAAACACAAAACAGTACGTTGTCTTAATGTTTACCCAAATACATCATCCATCTAGTATTTCTTGAGATTAAATGTTCAATCACATAATCATATAATTAACCATCTACAAACATCAATTGCAAGTGTTATCAGTTGCAATCCATTGTATTTTTAGGAGTAGACAAAATAAAACCCCTCTATCTCCTTTTCAAAAATAGAAGAAACAGAACAATTACATGCCTTAAACACTAAGAACAAATTTAACTAAAGATTTAACCATTTGCATATCAAATTTGTCCTCAGCAAGAAAAATAAATCCTGCTGTATCCCAACCTTGATGCAAAGTTTTTAGTTACAGAACCTAAGTCTAGTGGCTTGAGTATCTTATGGTGTAAATATATCAAACAAGCGTTGTAGCACAACAAGAGTCTGGTTACATGAACAAAACACATTTTGTAGAGGAGAGTGGATAGGGAATTGCTGAAACTTTTTCCAATAAAAAAATTGAGGTAGAGTATTAGATATTATTATAGGAGAAAAAACTAGGAGAAGGGATAGTAAATTTCCATGGCAAATTGATAGTTATTTGCTGCAATAATCTATTGTGATTTGACAGACAGAGAAAGGAAACATGAGAGAGGAGGAAGGGTTAGATCAGTTAATCGGTTAAGACTATCTACTCCTATTTAACTTCGGCTAAGTACAAACTTATTAAGGACGCCCCTCCTAACTTTTGGGGGGGGGTGCTGCTATTCCATTGCCCATCCTGAACATGCCGTTGTGCCTCACCACACCAGCCACAACACAACTTAATCAATAAGCTAGCTATAGCTATCCGAACAGAAACAGATCGCTCTCATAATCTTGATCTCCCAATCGACATAAGCAATCCATGTTCCACAAACTGAAAACTTAGAGAAGATCGGATAAACAGAAAAACCAAATAATAAAATGAAACAGACAACATTATGCAATAAAATATATCAGTGCTAGATTTCCCAATCGACATAAGCAATCCATGTTCCACAAACCGAAAACTTAGAGAAGATCAGAAAAACAGAAAAACCAAATAATAAAATGAAAGAGACAACATTATGCAATAAAAGATATCAGTGCCATGGACACAGAAACAGTCAATGGCGCAACGAATTAACAGGAAAAAAAACTGCATCTGGAGGCAAAGGATTTGAGGCATCGATCGATCCTCACTTCTTGGCACATGCCACCACTTACTAGCAAGGATAAAATTCGGTTGCTTGCATTGTTGAACCGATTTAGAAACATAGGGCATTTATATATTACTGTTGCTAAAAGCTTTCTTTAAGCTATTAGGCTGAGCTCATCCAGTACTCAAAGTCTGGATATCAGTTGCTCCGCGCAGCCGTCAAGACCTTTTCGTTCATGTCGGAGGTGGATCATCAGCTGCAATAACAAGGCACAATCAGATATATATATAAATCGCCTCCAGAGGTCAATTGGAATCAAGTATTGATTCCAAGATTATTGTACTGGAGAATGAAAAATAGATGTTACATTGACGAGTCAGAGGAATAGCATCGTAGCTCCAAACAAAGCAGATCCTCGCAGCATCGCGGACAAGACTGTCAAAGCACTTCATGGTGGCCTTGTAATCATCCTCTTGTTCATCGCAGGTCCGGGCAGCATCACGTACAAGACTGTCAAAGCACTTCCTGGCGGCCTTGTAATCACTGTCCTGTTCATCGCTCCGCCAGTTGCTATCTGCAAAGCCGCTACTGCCTGGCAGCACCATGGCAGCTGCTGGTTTCTCCCAGTTTGGTGTTTGTGAAGAACACGTAGCATGGTCGTCAGTAGAGGAGAAAACATTCACACTATGCAAACATCAAGAGATGTGCACTCGCCAACTTATGTATATAATTGCCTAGTAAATCGATTAGACATCTAAACTCAAGCAGAAATGCAAAACATTTTCATGGATTGCCGTTCCGAAATCGGAACAAAGAATTCAAGAAACTATAAATTAAAACAATAGGGCAAGTAACGCATAGTAGACTAGTAGGGAACGTTAAGCATCCAGTTGCAGCTGACGGTGTGATAATCTTCTCTAATTTCAATCCAGATCGGATCCTTCACAAACATTCGCAGCATGAAAAACACACAGACATATGCAAGTTGGAGTGAGATCGGAGGAAGAGGAGGGAGATGTAGAGAACGAAGTGGATAGATCGGATCGCAGGGCAAGCATACCGTAGCACACCGGCGGCGTGCTTAGGGCGAGTGCCGGACAGGTGGGAAGCAGCGCGAGGGCGGTCCTGCTGGACGGCGCCGGAGATAACTTCATCACGAGCATGTGCATTCTGGTCAGGATTAGCAAGAGGACGTTCACGACGGAGTACTCGTCGTCGAGCAAGAAGCCACGGAAATGGACGGCGGTGACGCAGACGATGACGGCGATGACGACACAACCGAAATAGTCCACCCAGTCGAGGTCGCGTAACGGCGGCGGCGGCTCCGGCCGCCGTCCCCACCCTGCGTCCTGTACAGCAGGAACCCAGCGGCAGGCCTCCATCCACCGAGCTCGGGCCTCGGGCGCCATCGTCGATCTATCGATCCCGGACGAGGGATTGATGGGCGACGAGGGTGGTCTCGCCGGCGATGGTGGCCGGCCTGGTGGGTGGAGTGGAGGGGAAAGCGAGAGAGCCTAGGCTGTAGGAGAGGGACTGCTAGTGATGAGGGTGGTTTATGCGGAGCGGAGAGCTAGCTGTGTGCGGGCGTGGAACGGACGGCGATGTCAGTTGTCGGTCGCTTTCCGGAATTTACTCGGCGGCCGCCGTCTGGCCGGCGGTGGTCCCCGTCGGTCAAAACGCGGATCGTCTTGTCTTCACGTAGTCAGGCCCCGGCCGTAAAACATGCGAGAGCGGCGTGTGCCTGGACGCTGGGTGGGCCCCAGCCGCGAGAGGGTTTACCTTTAACCGCCAATTCTGTTCAGAATAATACTACTGATGGTAGTGCACACAATAAGCAAATGCGTACTTATTTATTAACAGAAAAAAGCATGGCTCACCGATCACCACCACAATAGTACCAGAAAAAAAAAGAAGAACAATGTTAATTGTAGATTTAAAATTAACTCCTTTCATGATAGAGTATTATATATTGAAAACAATCATCACCGTGGTGTGATGAAGGGTTGGGAACTACCCAAACAAACACGCAATGCGTCGTGCCTTCAGATGCTCGTGCAACCCATCTGCGCCCCGCTGAAGTGGAAGAAGAGGAGCCGCCTGGGCTAGCGTTAGGGTTTCGGGAGGGGATTCAATCACTGACGGCTATATAAGAGGGTTTGGGGGCAGTAGTCGTGACACGGAGGTGGTGGAGGGTGAGATGGCGCCAAGTGCGGCGGCGGGGGTGCGCCGCCTGCCGGGGCATTGGGAGATGGCAGTTGGCCGGGGCCATTGCTGCTGGTTAAGGGAGGGCAGGGTCGAGGGTGGGATCGGGCGGCGGGTGGCGCGGTGAGACAGCAGGAGTCGCCAACTGCGGGCGGTGCAACCCGGGGACGGAGCGGGGGCAAGGATGACATAGGCGAGGTGACACGCTCCTCAAACGTGTCACCTGTCGCACATTAACTTTGTCCTAGGAACTACCCTCGCGTATGTCCCTAAGAGAGATCACTCAAGGGCGACTGCCCACCACCAAATCACTATGCCTCCTCCGTACAGTTTGGCCATTGCCGCTAAGGCCCCCTCGGCAGCATTGGCCATGGCGCATCGCCCACTGGGTATAGCACAAAAGGGATCGATCCTGTTTGCTCCTCTTCCCACCGTATTCTCTTTTTTCTCCAATCTCAAGTCTATCACAAATCTCTCAATTTCTCCCTACTATGGCTAGATCCTTGCTTCTGATGGCCAAATTCATGCTTGTGGAGAGAAGATCTATGGAAGAGCACGGTTGCCAGGCTCAGGTTGCTAAGTACCTCTAGCTACACCGGGCTGCTATCAGCCATGGCTGTGGCGGCAGCTGTGATTGTGATGCGGTCGTGTGGCAAGGGACATGGGTGCTACAGCTGCCAAAACCTCTACCCCTACGACACCTCCAGCCATTTGGTTGCTCTATGTCATGTGCGGCACCATACGTGCTTCACCACTATGCATGAGTTGTTCAACGGATCGACAAAGGGCAGCAGAGTGCACCATGACCACCATGGCCCCATGCGTCACTCCTCCGGAGTTGCTAGGAGGGCTGGTTCCAAGGTCGACGCCCTACCTACCTGATCTACAGCACCAAGGCATGTTCCTAACCAAGGTGGCGAAGCTTGGGACGCGCCCTCTCAATGGCCTCGTGGATGCCATCTAGAGGCCACTCATGGATGGGCTCAGAACACCTACTGTCGCGTGTTTGTGACCACGGTGAGCATTGTGGTTGTTCATCGGAAGTCGATGTATGGGTCTCCTGTGGTTCGGAGACTCAAAACACACGAAAGGGACACGACACGATTTATCTTGGTTCGGGCTTCTGAGCCTACATGCAGCAGTGTAGTGATCATCGTGTTAGGAATGCTCAATCAAGGAATTACACTGGCGGAAATCAAGAGAGATTGGTATCCTAGTGCTTGTCGATGTTCTTCCTTAGTAAGAAACCGGCCTTGTCTCTAGCAGAGGTGGGTTTTTATCTATCTGGCTATCTTCCTGTCAAAAGTCTAGTCTCCTTTGCCCTTTTTCTTATTCCTCTCTTCTATAGGTGAGCCGTGCCTCCCCTTATATTCTGAGGAGGACACGGTGTACAAGTCGGCTCGGCTCTAGTATATGGTCTATGCACCAGGTGCAGAGTCCTCTGCTGCATCGTTGCTGGACGCGGCTGTGTCATGTATGGAGGAGCCAACAGTGCCGCAACTGCCTCTTGACGTCACTGCTACCATTCTAGTACTTGACCATCAAGAACTGTCTGTTGTGGAGCGGCCTCCCCCAGGTGAGCCTCCTTGATGCTTCATTGACTAGCAAGGAGCCCCCGCCTGGAGGGGCTGACAAGTGGGCCCTAGAGCACTTCGCCCCAAGAGTTGGTGAGTTCCCTTGTCCTTGTGCACGCTGGTTGCATGACCCTGACGAGGGAGTGGCAGACAGGGCCTCGCGCCCTTTGAACACTACAAGAAATACCCTTATACATGATGGTTCACCAGTGACCTTCTGAGAAATCATCATAGAATGTTGTAATTTGTGATGGATTATTTCTAAGGTAAGGTGCTAAATCTATGACGACTTGTTAACATATCGTCATGGTTTGACGTCAATAGATCCACCGCACACTCTGTTTCTAAATTTTCGTCGCTCCACGCCATTCAGTTTCGCACACCCGCGCGACAGTAGACCTCTAAATCATCCCTGCCTGTAAAAATTTCTCAGTCTTATCCTCTCCTCCCACCACATCTCCCTTATCCCATAGTTCTCCCATGCACAAACAGGAGGGTTTCAGGCGGCGGCGCATCCATGCAGGCTCGATGCTCCCGGCTCCCTAATCCCAAATCTCGCGTCTTCGTTCTTCAGCCCAGGCGAGCGACGGCGGCAGGGGGCGGCGCTCCACACCCGATGAGATGAGGCAGGGTGGGTGATCAAGACGCGGCCAGCGGCCATGTGGGGGCGGCAGGGGCCTGCTGCGGCCCTAGGGCTCCTTGTGGCTGCCGAATCTGTAGGGCAGCGGCGGCCTGAAACGGCCCTGGGGGCCCCTTGTGACTGTCGGATCTATAGGGCGGCGGCGGCCGATGGCTGCTACATCCAACTACTAGGGCCTGGCGCGGTCGACTGAGGGAGACCGGGAGGGTACGCCGTGGAGCGCCCAATGGCCAGCGTGGCAACGACATCGACACAGCGCCCGAGTGCCGGCGTGCAGTCCACCAGGACAACCAAAGGTTAGGGATTTGATTTCCTGATTAACAATTCAGATCCTCCCCAACTGTACAGCTCTGCCTGTTATTGATTTTACTGCTTGATTTAGGGGAGTAGATGATTGGAGGCAAGAAGGATGCAAGCTGCCTAGGCTTCAACATCTGCATCCTAACCAATGTTGGTGCGCATTAGGATCTGCTTTGTTTTCATTATTTGCAGATATTTTTTCTTGTGGATTTGAGGAATAGCATGAAGACTGCAACATCATTTGCTCCTGCATCGACATTTATCTCTTGCATCTCTGAACAAGCGTTAATTTTGTTTGATTACTGAACTGTGCGAACAAATATTACAGTCAATATTTCATCTTTAAGTTCATAGTTTGTGCGATTTGCTTATTTGCAGATGAGTGGACAAACCATTCCGCTTTCATGCTACACGTGGTATGTCTCCAGTTTTTCTATAATGATGCAATCTAACTGAAAGTTATTTGCCAATTTAATTTAATTTCTAGAAACTTAGGTTTTTAGTTTGACGCAACCATCCTTTGCTAAAATTAATTTCTAATGTCATTATATAGGATTGTAAGTTCTACCGAAATTACCATGGTTTGTTCTGCTGGTTGTGTGCAGTTCAGCCTAATTGACTGACACTGACATAGACGTAGCGCTGGGTTGGGTCTTGTTTCTATCTATGTGTTGTTCTAAATTGACACTGACATATCTCTTACATGGTTAGCTGATCAAAACGTCTTTCTTTGATGAAGTAATAATGTGAATAGAGTACTTCTATCTCTACCCAGCAATCCAACGGAAGTGCTCTTATGTTTTAGAGTACTGGTTTCAAATCTTCTTTATAAATAGATGGCATTTTTTAGAACCCTTGCTCAAAACAAGCCCTGGGCAGCAACTATGAGCGTGCTCGGGCTTGTCCTAAGTCCTTCTAGAGGGTGCGCGTGAGCGTACCCAATGGGTATAGCCCCTGAGCCCCCGGGCGATCTATGAGATCGGTAGAGGGGTTCATCGGTCAGCTTACTCTTCCCGAAAGAATTGACATACCCCTATGTTAGACTCTCATCACCTACCCACCACAACCCCCTGGTAATGTACCCTACTGCTAAGCATGTGCTATCAAGAGAGTCAACATGGGACATAGTAGTGACAGGCCCATGCCCACTGCACCATGGTGTCATTCCTTTGAATCACCCTAATTTGAGAAGATGTTCATATAGTACAAGGGTTTGTGGAGCCTTTTGGTGAAAGCTATGCCCGACGTATCGATGCTATTGATGGTGATGCACAAGAGCGCTTCAAGCCTCGGTGTTGATATTTCTCCACCCCTGTTGATATTTCTTCATCCTGGCTACTGGTGGCGGTGGCGTCATCAATGTCATGTCCTACTTATAGGCATCACTATCGGGTTCTACATACTCAGATTCCTACAATCCTCTGCAAGTCCCATTCACTTACCCTTCCATATGGGCGCACACAGTTGTTTGCTAGAAGGTGTCCACATCCAGTGTCCTTGCCTCGATATCCTCTAGGATTCTTGATTGCATCATCTCACTATATCCCACGTTAGTGAGACTATGATCCCCTCTCTAAGACCTCCTCACTCTCCAATCATAGGTCCTCCCTCCCTTGAGGCTTCATCCCCTCTAAAGGTATTGGTGTATGATGATTGGATCCTGGATGTTCCTCATAAAGGATGTATATCACGG